ATTCCGCATTGCCCAATGGTTGAAAGTTGTGCATGTTAGTTTTATCCATACATTGATTTCATTAGAAAGTTTCATTATGGCGAAGACCACACCTTTTACAGTTGCTGTGAACATATAAAAAAGGATGTTACCCGCCTTATCAATGGGATAAATGCACATAAATAAATCAAAATACTATCTACCTGGGATCTATAGTTTTGGAGTACTAAAGTATAATAATACTTATCGAAAATTGTCACATTTTAGATCTGTTTAAGCTCTTATTGATGTATTTCCCACTCCAAATGTCATATCGTAATTTTAGGAATATACGGTGTAATACTGTAATGAGTCCGCTAGCATCTCTAGACGACTATGGATTTCTAGAAATTTCTCCGCCTGTCGAGGGAAGAGATATGATAGTTGAAACGGATGTAAAGTATGTTGTATATGATAAAATACGTAAGTCACTCCAAACGTTAACCCCATCGTTCTTACGTTTAGGTGCACATATCAACCTATTCAGAATGACAAGTCCTTCATTTTGGGGCCAGCTTCACAGGTAAAAAATCTTTGATTTGGGAAAAAGGTGCTTGTAATTGAGTAGATCTGTTACTACATATTGCAGCTTGAGTTCAACCGACCCACGCTTATACCCTATGATCAGTTTGTTGTCCAATGTCGTGATGGTTCGTCTTCTCAAGATGTCATCTATGAGAGGGCCTTTGTTAATATACCACTGCCAACGGTAACTTTTGAAAATGCTTCAGTTTGAGTTTCCTTTCTATAGGAAATGCTTTTAGGGGCCACCAAAGGAGCCAAAGTTTGTCAAAAGCAATTGGGTAAGGAGTTAAGCTTTATCTTTGAGAAAGTGCAACACGGTATTTCCACAGTTATCACTTCGTCTTTCATAATTCACTGGCAAATTTTAATTGCACTAATCTTAGGAACGATTGAAATACCACAAACTGGTTCCTTAATGTGCGCAGCTGCATGTATGGTTGTTGAGATTTATGCCCTTTGTAGGAATATCCTTCGCTGGCTCTATTGGTATTCGATTCTGTGTCCTTGAATCAATTCAAAAGAAACATGCCTAGAACGTGGAAGTTTCTAGTGGATAACGATTTCGTTACAATGAATATGTACAATGAGGTTTGATTAATAGGAACCTTGCTAGCTAATTACCGCATAGTCTTTGTGTTTCTATTGGACATGTAAAATACATAATAGCGCAACATTTCTAGTTATAATCAAGTTTAGATGACGGATGACTCTAATCAAAACATTCTTTCCATTTTGAGAGGAGGAGAAGAGTTGTCAAACAATCAAACTTTTCTCTGGGATATTATGAGAGGTAAGTGTTGGATGTTTTTTTATCGAATTAATTTATTGCTAATAGTGTTGCGTCAAAAACATTTAATCAAAAACAACATTAAGCCACTCGACGCAAGCGCTAAAAGTGAATGGGTAGCGTTACGTTAATTTAGCGCAATCCTCTGAAACCCAGCTCTTGAACACGCTAAAGCAACTACTCATTACGATTAGTCCGAACTAGTATCTAATACTGGATTTTAAGCATCTAAAGAGATGTATCGCCTTCTCTATCTTCCTTTTTTTGCAGTACTTTGAGAGAGAAGTCGATCGATGTAGTTGCAAATTATCTAGCAGCACTTGTCAGTTTTTAGGGTTATCCAAAACTGTTAACTGGAAAAATCAGTGCGACAGTATTAAGTGATTTCGAGAAATTTTGACACCAGTAAATAATGACAGACTGTGGTTCTCCCCAAATAATTGATTAGGGATATAAGGGAGGAAATTAGATAGAAAATTATGCCTGCATTTTCCCGTACACTAAGAAGCACATCATTTCTTG